TGTGTGTGTGTGTGTGTGTGTGTGTGTGTGTGTGTGTGTGTGTGTGTATCTGAAAGATGACAGATTTTGCGTAGTGTCTCAGAGCAGATTTGGGTGCTGGATCTCGTGCCATACTCACGTGTCTGAAGAACGCCGAGTCACTGCGATCGGTGACACTGCTAATACACTAAGCAGGGATTACCAAACTGTGTGTGTGTCTCTCTGTGTGTTAGTGTTTGTTTATGTGTGTGTGTGAGACCATGCATATCTATGATCTACAGAGACAAACCCATTTTAACTACCAAAGATAATGGGCTTAGGAAAGGCCTGTTTTTGTGTGTGGTTGTACTTCTGTCTTTGTGAGGCATCGTTTGTTCTCTCAGCAATAGTTAAAATAGAAAAACTGTTTTTTCATTGAACAAAAGAGTTCCTTAAATGTTAAATGCTTTGTTTAGTTTGGCTGAACTGAAACCCGGGGCATTCTCGGACCAAACTACCACTTCAAACCAATCACAGGAAGCACACCGTTTATGTGTTATTTCATTGGTTGCTATTTCCTGTTTTGATGAATTCCTCCCTGAATTTACTGTTTTATCAGACCATAAATGACACAATAATTAGCTAGCAAGCCCACCCAGTAGTCCCACTGCCTCAATCACTGGAAACTAGTTTGCCGGTAGAAGAGCAGTTAGCAGCTCTGCAGTCTCATAACGCCTGGAGGTGACGGACAGACTGTTTAGATCCAGCAGCCCCCTGTTGGGCTCATCTTCTATAATCAGTGTAGCATGAAGCATTGTGGTATTAGCAAGCTGGCTAACTATCTATTAAATGTGTAAAATTTAACAAACGCTTCATCCATACTCCTTGTCAAAGCGTAGGAAAGAACATCACACGAGTTGAGTCGTATAAGGAGCCAACTGTTTGACCAATAATCAAACGATATTTCCAACTCATGACTTTGGTATACAGTTTCTGGGAGTTTGAGTTTGGGGGAAGTGGATCTTTAGGTGTGGACCAGCCCTGAAATAATTATTACACCGTACAAGAACTGTCTAAATAAAATAGAGTCTAAAAAAAGCAGGATTAGAATTTAAATCCGGAACTATGTCACAGAAAACACAAAACCGGTAATGAATCTTACATTTGATGCAGCTCTCAGTACTTGGTGCTCAGACAGTGTTAAGTAATAGCATGTCTGTGTGTGTGTGTGTGTGTGTGTGTTACAATATGCTATATGTTAAGTGTAAGGTGTGTGTGATGTGTGTACTGTACACTTGAGTCTACAGTGTGTAGCAGTCATTGTCAATGGACATGGCTGTGTACATGTGGATGTGTTTTTGTTGTGCAGCCATCACGTCATGTTTCTCCGCCTGTGATCTCTCTGTACTACAGTGTGTGTGTGTTACTGTATTATTGTGTTAATTTGTCTGTTTTTCCTCTGCATGTTCAGATATTTTGCATTAGTGTGCTTCAGAGAGTACACTTTTATTTTAGTGTGTGAGCAGCAGGGTGGTTTCTCGCAAAGGTTTCTTTAATTTGTGTGACTCTGCAGTCTTTCTCGTCCGTGTGTGTGTGTGAGTGTGTGTGTGTGTGTGTGTGTGTGTGTGTGTGTGTGTGTGTGT